ATGAGGGCTGCTTCATCACCTCCAACTGTTTTATTAGAGTTTGACATAAGTGACTCCATTTTGGTACGGACAACATTCACAACTTTCCATGTGACTTCAGGACCCTGCACCCTGAGCTTTCCCCTGGCCATTTTGCAGGATGACTATCTATGAGTCTGAGTTCCTTGAGAGGTAGGACTGGGTCTCATTCCCTCCTGAAACTCACCTGGGACAGCGACGGCCCATGCCATCCATTGCTGAATGACTGCATCCACTCTCCCAGCCAGTGTGCCAGTCCCCACCGAGCCTTGCTCTCAACCTCCCTGGCTGGCATAGGTGCCTTGCACATCCAGTGTCACTAAAAGACTGCTGTGCTCTCCGCTTCCCCCACCTGCAGCCCTCACTGGCTCATCCAGCTGTCCTGTCTCTGCTCAGGATGAGATCATCCACCCACCCACCCCGCCCTGCCCCCGCCCCCCTCTCGGTCTCCATGGCCAGTTGATGGTAGTTCCCCCATGGTCTTTTCCGGAACCTCACTGGCCCCTTAGTTCACTATGACGACCTCACCTCTTGGGACTCCATGTGGACATCTTTCCCTCAAATACATCTACATTTGCCTGACAAAGAATGTGGTTTCAAGTTGGGTCCAGTACCTGGCTCCAAATTCCCTCGTCAGATTAAGGAAATCCCCTGAATTCCTAGCTTGCTAATTCTTATTATTATAAATGGTTGTTGGGTGACTTACTGAGTGCCTGTTCTGGAACCACTGAGATGGTCACATGGGTTTTACTCCTCTAACCTATTAATGTGAATTACACTCTTAGATACTCTGGCATTGGAACCGCTTTGCAATTCTCAATTAAATCCAGTGTGGCACTCTGCTAAACTTGGTTTATTATTATTGTTTAAAATGTTGACATCGCTATTTGGTGTGTAAGTTCCCTTCCCCTTACCTAGTTTTCTTCTTGTCTAGTCTTGCTATCAAAGTTAAATGTATGAAGTGTTCTGACTTGATTCTGTTAGAATTTGTCTAAGTCTGGAATTACCTGTTCTGTTTTCTGGAACTTCCCTGTAAAACTGTCTAGGGGAACATTACCTACTGACTCCATTTCATCAGTGGTTACAACCCAGGCTTTCTGTTGGTCAGTTTTGGAGATTTTTCTTCCATTTACTTTGAGTTGTACCAGCGTACATAGCACACTTAGTTTATCTTTGGCTCTTAAAAATACAGACACACATGCCGGGTGCAGTGGCTCACACCTGTAATCCCAGCGCTTTGGGAGGCCAAGGCAGGCGGATCACAAGGTCAAGAAATTGAGACCATCCTGGCCAACGTGGTGAGAAATCTTGTCTCTAATAAAAATACAAAACAGCTGGGCGTCGTTATGCACGCCTGTAGTCCCAGTTACTCTGGAGGCTAAGGCAGGAGAATCACTTGAACTTGGGAGGCAGAGGTTGCAGTGAGCCGAAATTGCACCACTGCACTCCAGACTGGCGACAGAGTTAGATTCGTCTCAAAAAAAAAAAAAAATAAAATGTAGAGACATACAGCACACGTGTGTCAACGGCACTATTTGTCTATCTGTAGACGCACATCATTTAGGGAACATGAGTTGTTTTTTGTGCAGGTTTAGCTCTGTTCCACAAATTTCTTCTTTTTGAGACAGAGTCTCACTGTCACCCAGGCTGGAGTGCAGTGGCGCAATCTCAGCTCACTACAACTTCCACCTCCCAGGTTCAAGCGATTCTCCTGCCTCAGCCTCCCCAGTAGCTGGGACTAAGGCACGCGCCACCACACCCGGCTAATATTTGTATTTTTAGTAGAGATGAGGTTTCACCATGTTGGCCAGGCTGGTCTCCAACTCCTGACCTCAAGTGATCTACCCACCTCCACCCCCTAAAGTGTTCGGATTTCAGGCGTGAGCCAGCAAGCCAGGCCATGCTTCACAAATGTTAATTACAGTATTTTCATTATCTTTTAGTCTCGAATATTTCTAACATCCATTAGGAATTTTTTACCTCATAGAGGTAACATAAGTATGTTTTAAAAATTCCAAATATGAAATTCTAAAAATTAAAAAAAGTTGTTTTTGAAATGGAGTTTCACTCTTCTTACCCGGGCTGGAGTGCAGTGGCGTGATCATGGCTCACTACTCCCTCTGCCTCCCAGATTCAAGCAATTCTCCTGTCCCAGCCTCCCGAGTAGCTTTGATTACAGGATTGCGCCACCATGCCTGGCTAATTTTTGTATTTTTAGTAGAGATGGAGTTTCTCCACGTTGGTCAGGCTGGTCTCGAACTCTCAATTTCAGGTGATCCACCCGCCTTGGCCTCCCAAAGTGCTGGGATTACAGATGTGATCTACCGCACCTGGCCTAGCTTAACATTGTTTTAATGACAATGGAATATGGCCAGATGATGACACTGACTCCTTGAAATATCTTAAGACTTCTTTTCTGGACAGAGTGGGTGGTGTTCCACATACACTTGGAAAGAAGTATTCTTTCAGATACTGCTGTGTCTGTCCCTTAGGTCGAGCTCACACGCATCTGACGTTTGATCTTTCAGCGCTTTTCCATCTCAGTCTACTGTCTCATCAGACACGCCAGCTCCCTTTCATTTACAATCTTTGTCTCATAGCCCGAGACCAAAGAATTTTATTTACAGCTTTATCTCCGTATACCACTAAAATTCACCTGAGTTGATTCAACCTGCATTCATCTGACTGCCTGTAGCTTTGGATTTAATTCTTCCATCCCACTTTCTGTCTTCCATTTGCCTCACACTCTCTAGTTTTATTCTCTTTTCCTTTGGGCCAATGCACCGGGCCCAACTCACATGCACAGACTCTGGGAAGGACAGCTCCCTCCCTCCCTCTAAATTCTGAGCAGTGAAGAAGAGAAAGGAATGAGACCCCCACAGGCAGAAGCCAAGAGAGGGGCGAGGAGCCGTGGCGTTCTGTCCCAGGATGCCCCATGCCCGGACATGCTCCTGCCACTCCCGAGTGCCAGGTGTCCCTACGCTACACCTCAGCGCCGTCCTTGTGAGCTGTGAGCTAAGGTGGCCTGGCAATAGAGGCCACCCTGTTCGGTGCTGTGGCTCCTGCGAACACAGGCAGGGAAGAGGCAGTGACTGCGCACCCCACCATCCCTCCTCCCTGACCCTGCAAACTTCGGGGAAGCTTTCAGGCCCGGGAAAGACCCGACCCCAGTCTGACTCACCCTTTCCCTGGGTCTGAAGGCCCCGGCCCCATTTTCAAGGATGACGCTGAAACATCCTCTCTCACACGGGAGACCTGAGCCCTCACAACTCAGCAGAGCACGACTCTGTCCCCTTCACACGGAGGGGCCGAGGTCCGCGGAGATCCTGGGATGAGCCACCATCAAGGACTCAGAGGGTCCCCTGGAGCCTCCCAGGCGGGAAGGCTCAGGCCAGGCCCGCGCGCTCCAGGTCCTGCGGCAGGATGCGGCCCTTCTTGCGGGCCTTGAGCAGGCGGCGCTCGGCGCGGGCCGCCTTCTTCCTGCGCAGGTTCTGCCGCCGCCGGTCCTGGCGCTGCTGCATCTTCTCCACCACGCGGGCCGTGCGCCTCTCCCACCCGCGCTGCCGCTGCGCCCTGCGCTTCTCCTTGCGCTTCAGGGCCTCCTGCAGCAGGCGCTCGTCGTCACGGATCTTCACGCCCTCCGCCTTGTACAGGAGGTTGGTCCACTTCATCTTGGCCTCCAGCTCCTGCGCCTTCCCCTCATCCTGGCCGCGCAGCTCGTCCAGCCGGCCCCGCCGCGCCTGCAGGCGCTCCAGCAGCTGCCGGTAGTTCCTCCCGGTCAGCGGCGTGAGGTTCCCCTTCACCCTCCGCCTCTTCTCCTTCCTGCGCTGCGCCCTGCTGGCCGGCTCGTCCTCACTCACCTCCACCTGGGAAGGCGATACGACGTCAGCTCACGCCAGCCCCGCACTCGGGCCCCAGCCCTGGCCAGCACCCCAAGGGACCTGCGCTGTCCCTGTCGCCACCTTACAGACGTGACGGGGCCTGTGGGGAGGTCACGAAGCTAACAAAGGGCAACGCTGAGGCCTGAGGCGGACCCGGCCCACCCGAGGCCCCAGCTCCCACGCACCTTATTGAAGATCAGCCCCGGCGGCTCCCGAGGCTCCCTGCCGGTCCCCTCTGGGACGGGCTCCACTGGCTCCTGGGCCTCCGCGGCCTCCTCAGCCTTCCTGGCCTTCTCTTTCGCCCGCAGCTCCTTTCGCTTCCTCTTCTTCCGGTCCCGTTCCTGCTTTCTCCGCTGCCTTTTCTCCAGGGCAGCAGGGGACAGCGCCTTGGCACTGCCCTGTGGGAAACAGGCACTCGCTCATTAAAGTTCTCTCGACCCCGGGGTCCCCTAGCCTGGCCCATGGTTGACAGGAATCAGGGCTGGAAGACAGGTGAGGAAATCCTCACGTCGAACAAGGGGCCCACTGAGTTCAGAGTTCCACAACGGGATGGTGCTCCCCAAAATGCAAACGACCCCAAAAGGGAGAAGGGACGCCCAAAATTAAGAATCACAGCTTCCGGGCCGGGCACGGTGGCTCAAGCCTGTAATCCCAGCACTTTGGGAGGCCGAGGCGGGTAGATCACAAGGTCAAGAGATCGAGACCATCCTGGTCAACATGTTGAAACCCTGTCTCTACTAAAAAAAATACAAAACATTAGCTGGGCATGGTGGTGCGTGCCTGTAATCCCAGCTACTCAGGAGGTTGAGGCAGGAGAATTGCCTGAACCGAGGAGGCGGAGGTTGTGGTGAGCCGAGATCGCGCCATTGCACTCCAGCCTGGGTAACAACAGTGAAACTCCGTCTCAAAAAAAAAAAGAATCACAGCTTCCAATTCCCAGGCAGTTACCACGTGCCAGGATATGTTACGAACAGGGTTTCACCTGTCACACAGTGTTTTATGGATGAGCAGGGTCAAGACCACTGCCTAGAACTTGGAGTTGGGGTCTGAACACCCGGGCACCTGTCCCGACCCCTACCCGCTCTGCTCATGAGGTCTCCAGACGAAGCTCTCCCCAGTGGCCGTTCCCATCCCCGGGCCAACAAGAGCACCACACCAGCCTGAACGAGACCTGTGCTACAAGAATGGGGGCCGCGAGCCTCTCAGGAACCACACACGGTACCTCGGGATGGCAGAGAAGAGAAGTGGGGACTGTCCCCCACACAGCACGAGGCTTTAAGGAAGGGCCCCAGGGAAAAGGTGGGTAGGGGCCGACACCACCACTCAGCACAAAGAGCCACACCGGCACTTCCTGTGCCTGGACACTCAGCTCGCGTCCCTCTCAACTCATGGGACAGTCACAACATTCAGAGAAACAGACACAGGACGTGCCCATCCCAGTGTCGTGCTCAGCAAAGGTAGTGTCCCAGAAGGAAGGAGGCTGATGACGCCAGGGACTGAGGTTCTCCAAGAAACTAGGAACTGCTCTCCCCGGGCCCAGCTGCCGGGCCCAGGCAGGGTCACTGCAGAGGGAGAACAGGGGTGCAACTACTGCTGACAGCCGACCCCAGGGAGAACACAGGCAGGGCAGAGACAGCACTCCAGCACTCGTGCCTGCCTACCTGGCCCCGGGCCTCCTGGATCTTCTCATGCAGTCGCTGTCGAAGAACATCCAGGGCAAACACAGACTCAGGCTCTGTGGCCAGGCCACCTGCAGGGAAGGAGCCAGGACTGCAGGGGGCGCTCTCTCACCCTTCCCCTCCCTCCTTAGGGCCCAGCACCCCTGTCCCACTGTGGCCACTCATGGATCTGCAGGACAATTCCCGTAAATTCTACGCCACCACTTCCACCTGGACCGGTTCCTACACCATCCTCCAGGATAGGAAACTGAGTGCCTCTCGAGGTAGGTCAATGTGCTGAGAAAACACTTCCTAGGGCACAAGCCAAACACCTCCTCCAAATTCTGCAGCCTGAGCCCCCCCTGAACAAGTTGGCTCTCATGACACCCCTGCAGAGACCTGAGGGCAGTGCAGCTCTTTAAGCCAAGCTGCTCCAGGTGCTCAGAGAGACACAGCATCACCCCTTGCCATCGTGCCCACCATGTGGCCTGGAACGCCGTGCAGTTCCTCCAGTCCCATCCAGTCCCATCCACGCTAGTGCGCCTGTGAGCTTCACTCTTGGGGAATTCTCCTGCTATCCCTGTGGGCCTGACTGCTTTTTTTTTTTTAAGAGCAGAAGGGACCAAGCCCAAGCCAGCCCCGCCCTGCACAGAAGCAACACGGCCTGAAGTCTCTCACCTGCAGGGGTCTCGGTGGAGCTGGAAGCCGTAGCCACTTCCCCTTCCACTGCCTCAGGCCTCCTAGCCCCAGAGGCTGCTGGAGACTTCTCCCCCAAGGACTTGGCCTTGTGCTCAGAAGCCTTCTCTTCTCGCTCCCGGAATTTCTTTTGTGTTTTCTTCCTTTTCTTTTTTGGGGGCCCTGCAATTTCTGAGCCTTGAGTTTTGCCAGCTAAAATGTAAAATGAGAAAGAGTCGCCGTCCCAATCCCGTGGCCCATTCAACAGGCGGGAAAGGCTCCCCAGGGCTTTGATCCCAGGAGGAGGCAGAAAGAGGATCAGGACTGGGGGCCAGAGACACTGACCCCAGAGCTCAGAACCACAACCCTGATCCAGCTGTTCTGCTTGTGAGAATTCACGCACAAAGACTAGGCCTCAAGGACGTTCATCACATTATTTGAGTGAAAAATTAAGAAAACCTGAATATCCACCTCCACCAATAATTTCTGGCCCTGCTTCACAACAAGCTACTATGTGGACGAGGGCATTCATTTTAGTGGCTGGGGGTGATGTTTACATTTTAAATGGAAGAAATCAGTATGTGAAGTAGGAACTGAATCGTTTTAATAAACGAAAAAAACGTTTTAAAAACTTCGAGAAAGACAGACCAAAGACGTACTGAGTAAGAAGAAAACTCACTTAAGTTTTTGGATTTGCTATAACCAATATTTTGTCCTTGAATAAAAAGAAAATCCCGTTTTACCTCTGGTGGTTCCAAAGACCCTGCTGCTCTCCCCTCCTCCTGGGCCCAGACAGCACTGACAAGTCCCCGCTGTCTGCTTCCCCATCCGATTATCTACTTCCCTTGCGCAGCCTGGTCACTAAGCCATGAGAATCCTAGCGCAGAAGCCCTCTGCCGTCCTCCGCCTCCCCACACCGCACCATGCCCGGAATGAATGAAGGGGCTAAAGGCTAAAAGGGCCTTTTCCCTCTGACTGACCGTTACTCCTGTCTTCCCGCCCCGTGCGGAAGCAGTGAGTTAGTTCAGGACACCAGCAGCCGAGATCCTGCCCTGCAAGGTGGCCTCCTCTGAATCCTAGCCGTGCTTCCAGCCGCACGGGCAGGCGGCACCGAATTCCACGGACCCCCGGGATGGCAGTTTCTCCCTGATACCCGTAACAAATAAGGGAAACCGGCTGGGCGCAGTGGCTCACGGCTGTAATCCCAGCACTTTGGGAGGCCGAGGGGGGCGGATCACTCGAGGCCAGGAGTTCGAGACCAGCCTGGGCAACATGGCGAAACCCCGTCACTACTAAAAATACAAAAATTAGCCTGCGTGGTGGAGTGCGCCTGTATTCCCAGCTACTCGGGAGGCTGAGGCAGGAGAATTGCTTGAACCTGGGAGTAGGAGGTTGCCATGAGCCCAGATCGCGCCACTGCACTCCAGCCTGGGCGACACAGCGAGATTCCGTCTCAAAAAAAAAAAAAAAAAAGGGAAACGGCGGTAGTTTCACACGTCTACACCGACCCCGGCCGCGCCCCCGCTTCGCAGGCCCCCCAGTCCCGGCCCTGCGCATTACCCCGCGTGCGCGCCTGCGGCTGCGGGCCCGACTGGACGCAGATCTTCCTGGCCAGGCTCTGCAGGTAGGCGTCCTTGGCGAGCAGAGAGGCCATCGCTGAGGTCGGGGCAGTCCACGACTCACACCGTCCCCGCGGCGCCTGCGACCCTCACCCACCGCGCCGGAAACCACCACGCCTGCAGGTGACGCCAGACGAGCGCCGAGCCGCCAGACGAGAGCTCGATTAGTCAGGCCTGGCTCCGCCGGAAGCGGCGCGCGGGGCGGGGCGCACAGCATTGTGGGCGGAGGGCAGCCGACCTCCGCGCGGAGTCGGAGCAGTCCGAGACCCGGATTTCCGGCCTCGGGGCCTCAGTCTCCTGGGCCTCGCACGGGTCCCTGCGCTCCCCTCACCCCCACCCCCGGCACAGCAGGCGCTCTGGGGTAGGGGCGAAATAAATGAATGACCAGCAGTATATTCATTCATTCCTTAAGGGGCCTCAGGTCTCAGGCGGACCCGGACTGAACGCCCGGCACGTGGCAGGCCTTAGGTTCAGTCCCACCGGACACAAGCCGCGTCTCACACACAGGGGTTCTCGGCCAGTGTCTGCCGTATAGGTAACTGATAAACCGGGCAAGCGTGTGACCGTCAGGTGAGGGGAGCGCCAAGGAAAGCCCCAGGGGAAAGGGAGAAGTGTTGGGTGGGAGGGCGCCAGCCCGTTCAAGGAAGACCCCTGGGCAATGTTTTGCTCTGAAAAATACTACACACCACTATTTTTAACACAGGACGTGGCCTTCGTAAGAACTCACCAGGGACAAGAGACAGGAGAAGTCATGGCCTGAGGCTTGGGACCCCCATACCCCAGTTTCTGCACAGGAAAATTACAGGCTCGTTAAGGACCCAGAGCCCCTTCCGGGGCAACCCTGTTGGTGAAGGGAGAACTTGAAGTCTTAAATTACAATTAAAAAGGTGGCTGCTAATATGTGTACACTAGAAACAGTAAGAACTAAACTTTCTTCCCCTAACTTCTGCCACGAGGCGAGTTAAAACATTTTTTTTGGCGGGGCACAGTGGCTCATGCCTGTAATCCCAGTACTTTGGGAGGCCAAGGCAGCAGGATCACTTGAGCCCAAGAGATGGAGACCAGCCTGGGCAACACAGTGAGACCCTATCCCTCCAAAAAAATTTTAAAATTAGCTGAACGCGGTGGCCTGCCCCTGTACTCCCAACTACTCAGGAGGCTGAGAAGAGAGGATCACTTGAACCCGGGAGCTGGAGGTTTCAGTGAGCCAAGATCATGCCACTGCATTCTAGCCTGGAGTGCCAGGCTGTCTCAAAAAATAATTTTTTTCACTTTTAAAAAAGCTAGTCAAATTTAGCAGTGGGGGGCGGGTTGTATGCCAACTACAGTGACACTAAGGTTAGTAGGTTCTGACATCCCACTGCCATTCAGACCAGCCTAGAGGTCATGCTTCATGGAGGATGGGCGTGACACTGCAGATGACTTCCCTGTACTGCTGGGCATCTTAACCCATCACCTACTGAGTTCGGAATGGGTATCTGATCCCCTCTGCCTCATCTCTTCCTATCATCAGAACTCTCAGTTAAAGCAGCTCAATCCTTCCAGGTGCTTGGGTCAGACTCTGAAACCACTGACTCCTCTCTTATTCCCACATCCAATGCTTCAGCAAATCCTATCAGCCGTGCATTCAGAACACCTCAAGAACCCAACTAGACCCACTCCCATCTCACCACCACTCTGATCCTGTTTTTATTTTTTGAGACGGGGAGTCTCACTCTTTTGCCCAGGATGGAGTGCAGTGATGTGATCTTGGCTCACTGCAACTTCCACCTCCTGGGTTCAAGCGATTCTCCTGCCTCAGCCTCTTGAATAGTGGGACTACAGGTGCGTGCCACCACGCCTGGCTAATTTCTGTATTTTTTTTTAATTAGAGACGGGGTTTTACCATATTGCCCAGATTGGTCTCAAACTCCTCACCTCAAGTGATCCGCCCACCTTGGCCTCCCAAAGTGTTGGAATTACAGGCGTGAGCCACCCCGCCTGGCCTGGTCCTGTTTTAGATTTTAAGACTATCCGAAATAACAACCAAATACAATGCAAAATAAAAACAGGCATTAAAAAAAACTACTTTTGGAACAACAGAAGAAATCTATGGCCAGATTCCAGAGGATATGGAGTCATTCACTTTGGTTGTGGTGATGGTAGGACAGTGTGCTCAGAGGCAAACTGACAAGTGCTTCCATAGGTTCAAATCCGCTCAAAAGAAAAAGCTTGGGATAAAAGAGTACCATAGACTGGGGATTGGCCAGGGCATAGCAACATGGAGGCCGCTGGAGACCTTAATAGGTGTAGTTTTGCTGGAGTCATGGAGACAAACCTGTCTGACGTAGGCTTGAGGGAGAACTGCAGATAGACATGTCAGTTGCTTCCCTGTGGCGTTCTGCTGCCAAGGGCCATGAGCGGGAAAGGAAAAGGGTCAGGAGAGCGGCTTGGCTTTAAGAAGGGAGAAAGAACTTTATTTTCACATGGGAATGATGGTACTGGCCAAGCAGAAAGCAAAGCTGATGGCATAAGGTCTTAGTGCTCAGGTTTTCAGAAACAGGACAAGTGGGGTCCCACCAAAGTCTGGCCTGCTCCTTCCGGGCTTTCCGTTCGTATATGCTTCCATCTGGTTGTACTCTTTTTGCTCCTTAGTGGTTAAGTACAAGGCATTTCCACAACTAAAACAGTGCAGGAAGACATCACCAGACTTCTCAAAGGGGAAATTCTCCCTCAGAGGGGAAGCAACTTCCCTAGGACACCCCAGAAGCCAGGCCCAGAGTCGGGGCTGGGCCTCAGGCTCCTGTCCGTCTGGTGCCTTCTGCTTGGCTGCGGGGTCCTCTCGTCCAGGTGGTGACGGGTCAGCTGTGTCCTTGCCTGTCCACAAGGCTGGACCCTGGGCTGTCACCTCATTCATACATCGGGGAAGATGATGGTCTCCCCCGTGAGAAGCAGCAGCACATGGATGGTGGTGGAGGAAGTGAGGGAGGCAGGAGTTAGGGGCAGGTGTGCCCCCCCACACTTCCTGCCCAGTGCTGTGATTTCTGCATTTCTAAGGTGAGCCTGGCACGGAGACACCAGATCTAGAGTTCAATCAGGGTTCTGCCACTTCACTTTCTATCTCTGTAGCCACGGGTACACCTGACCCCTTCTAAGTCCATATTCTCTCCTCTCTGAAATGCTGGCACCAGGAGCACCGGCTCGGGTGGCAGTGAGGATGAGATGCCATGACAAGCACCGGTGATTGGATGTGCAATGATGCAGCAGGTCCATTCACTGAATACTGGGGACCTACCAGGTGGTGCTGGGGAGAGGGTGACCTCGGGCCAGGCTGTCCAGGCAGAGCTGAGGAGCTGCTGCTCGGACAGCTGCTGGGAGACTGAGCGTGGTTCTGGACTGACGAGGAATGAGGAAGAAACAGGAGCAATGCAAAAGGGTGGCGGTGTTTTAATCAAGTCTCCTTACAGAGGCAGAGGTAGGAATGAGTCCCACCTAGCTTCCATATGCGGGGGCAACCCCTCTCATACGGCCGTGCCTTAACACTCAGCTACGGTGCTAACATGTGCAGCTCAGGGCAAGCAGCAGCAGGTGGGGCTCCCCACAGGAACCCCGGCCTGCCCAACAGTCTGCTTGGAGCCCCTACCAACTCTAACAACAGGCTCAAGTTGGGGCTCCCCCATATCAGGCACCCTCCTGCCCCACTGCTGAGGTCCCCAACAGGCCAGACCTATGTTGGAAACCTTCTACCTGGGCGGCCAGAAAGACAGCAAAAAGAGATGATGACTCAGGGAATGATGGGCTGTTCAGAAACGGCTAGGAAACCACTTTCCCAACCATCCTGGCTGGACCGGTCCTGGGCTAACGAGCTTCGCAAGGAAGTCCCAGTGGCTCTGGGGTCCTGAAGTCCCCAAATGGGAACCTAGGCTGAATAAAGAAGCAAGCCTGTGGCAGCATCCAGAGGGAGAACTCAGGTTTTGTTCCTGACAACGAAGGGTGGCCCCAGAGGCTCAGGCGTGCTCAGTGGGGCCGGGGCCACCGGCATGGGAATGGGCAGGGGCTGCCGCCTGCAGGGGGCCAGCACTGGGCTCCGGGGACGCCAGCAGAGGGGCCGAGAGGCCATCGGCCGAGTCTGTGTCGAGGTCCAGCCTCCCGTAAGCTTCGCACAGAGGCAGGTCATTAGCTTCGCAAAGGCTTGAGCTTTTCCACCACCAGAAACCCCAGGGAGACAGGAGCAGGCAGAGAGGAAAGCCGGGGAGGGGAAAGCAAGACAGAAGCGGAGTTAAGAAAACGCGACCGCACCCAGACCTGCCTTTCCCTTTGTCTACTCCTGCTCCATCTGGCCGAGTCGGCAGGCCTGGCAGAGAGAGGGGCCGGTGCTGAGATCCACCCTAGCATCCTTCAAGGAAGAAGCCACCCTGGCCCAGCCACCTATAGCTGTGTGACCTCAGCAGGCTCTTCCTGCCCAGCCTCCACATGGGCCTGTCCTAACCCCTGCCTCCCAGCTGGTGCTGGTCCCCTCCCTCCTCTTGCAAGAAGCTGTCAGCCTGGCGGCCCTCCCTCCTCCCTGACTGCAGAAACCAGGGTCACTACACTGCAGAGAGCTCTCTGAGGGCGGACTCTGTCTTCTGAGTCTGTCCCTGTCTGACACAGCCTGAAGGGGGCGAAGTTGGAAACACAGGCCCTGGCACTTCCCTGTAGCTCCATCAGCCAGGTGGCCTCCAGCAGGTGTCCCCAGCTTTAACAGGGGAATACTCAGGGCGGCCAAGATGCAGGTGAGGGGCACAGCTAGCCCTTCCCATGCCCGCAGCTGTGATGGTCCACGCCCGCCTCCTTCTAACCTGCAGGCAGGGGCCCTGGCTTTCCCACATCCTGCCTCCCTTGCTCCTGCCCTTGTTCAGTCTCAGAACCGTCCTGGGCACACGGTAGCATCCCGAGGAGAGTGGAGAAGGAGAGGCAGAGCCAGAAAGAGCAAATAACCAGCGAAGAGTGGACAGGCAGACCCGGAGGGGCAGCTCATGCGGGGCGGGGTGGGGAGCGCAGTGCCCTTTGGGGCACCAGCAAGCAGGGGCCTAGGAAACTCCTCCCAGCCCTGGCTGCTTAAAGGCGACGTACAGAGAAGGGGCAACTGCCTCTGCACAGGAGCTGCGCCGGGGGTGCTGGTGTGGACAGGATGCCTGCCGGAGGGGACACAGGCTGGCCTGGAAGCCCCTATGGATGAAGCCGAGGGACTGTTGGGGAGGGCGTGGGAAGCCTGGCGCATCTGTCCTGGGTTTGCACCCTACTCTGCTGCAGGGCTGTGGGCAGGTCCCCTCCCTCCCCACTCCAGGGCACGGCAGGCTGAATTTCGGTCTCACAGCTGCTCTGTCCAGGGGCCCTCGGGATAGTGGCTACCGCAAGAGACAAACGGAACAGTGGTGGAAGGATACGCCAGGAAGGGGCTCACACACCCGAGGGCTCCTCTCGGCCACCCTGCTGTGTAGGAAACGCTGTCTCCTGTCTGCTGAGTTAACGAGTACTGGGGACCAAAAATTCTCCCCACGACGCCCTGGAAAACCTTAGAACTGCTGCAGCCGGGCAGTGCCACTGAGCGCAGGGCAGGGAAACCAAGCCCCAGGCCACACTGGCTCTAGACGTCTGTGGCTCCCAGCGTGGCCACTGGGCAAAAAGGGGCATTTTGAGTCCACCACCAGGAAGCAAAATTTTGTCCAGGAGAAGGAACAAGACGGACACGGACTCTGCATCTGCCGGACTGAATCTCCCTTTTCTAAGCTAATGGGGGCAGAGAGGAAGGCCTCCCTGTCTCAGCCTAAGATTCCCCCTAGGTAAAAAACCCGTGGACTCTGATTTCTCAGACCCTGCCAGCTCAAAAGGTTTCAGGTTTCTGGCTTCTTACACGGCCCCAAGAGGGTCTGGATGATGGGTTTGACCCTTCTGCATCCCTGGGGCCCAGCATGGGCCTGGCACGCAGGCCGGCTCCAGCTCCGTGGGTAAGGCTGAGCGGGTCAGAAATCGGAACTCCAACAGCTTTCAAGGCCATTCCCTGCCTGGGCTTGGTCCCCCACCGTCCCATGACTGTCCCTGCCTCCACACTGGGGTTTGGCGACATCCGCATGGAACTGCATCCCTGATGCCCTGGACATAGGGATGGACTCGAGTGCCCAGGAGGGGCTGGCCCAGCCTTGGCCAAAATCTCTGAATATGGATTCAGACGCTAACAGGCGCACCACTGGTCCAGAGGCACTGCCTGAGGAGGGAGCCTCTCAGGAAGACCCTGCAGCGGATGCCGGCCAGGCCCTCCCTTCTCCAGACTCGGCCTGTCCAACTGGCGTGAGTCCTGCGGCTCTCATCAGGCTGCACTGCGGGAAAGGCCAGGGCCCCAGCAGATGCTCGTGAATTGTCTGTCGACCAAACGCTCTGGCCAGGAGCTCTGCTCTGAAACCCAGGCACAGCTCCACTGCCAAGAGCAGCAAGGGTTTGAAAAAGCAGAAGACCCTTGAGAGTCAGGGCGGCCTTGCCTGCTGGCCAGGCCCAGGTAGGCAGGCTCCCACTCTGCACGGGGAGTCCGGCACTATTTGTACCTGGACGAGTAATACTCCTCCTCCAGCTCGTAGAGGTCAATGGAGATCTCGTCCCGCAGCGTGATGAGCTTCCGGTCGCACTCCTCCTGCAGCGCGCGCAGCTGCTGGTTGCGCTGGTCGATGGCCTCGTTCACGGAGGGGAAGTCGTTGAGGATCAGGAACTGCTTGAGGTCGGACACCAGCTTCATCAGGGACTCACCGGCTCGGACCTGTGGCCATCAGAACCAGGGTGGGCACAGGGTGAAGGGGGACGGCAGCCCTGCCCGCAGGTGGCTGATGCCGGGCAAGTGATGGCCTCTCTGGAGCCTCTGCTTCGTTGCAGAGTGGGACTCTGTCCCTGACCTGCACAGGTTCAGTTGTGAGAATTAAGTGAGAAAACTGGGATGGCAGCTCCGGAGGGCAGGCCCTCCCCTCCCCTCAGCCTCTGGCTTCCACTCTCGCAGGACGCAGGTGCACGCTCCGCTCATTACGAACGCAAACCCCACAGATAAAACTGCAATCCCTCTTGCCTCCTGCCCCCGGGTAGGGGTAGCACAGCTGCCAGCTAGGCAGGGCTCCTGGGGGACTTTTCCCCCCGCATTTTCTGCCTCGGACGTGAAGCTGCAGGAGTATCTGCTGTCTGTGTTTCTCCTGTGGTCCGAGGGAATCCAGTGGTGCCTATGGTTCCATTCGGCTGTTTGCCCTTTCACTCCCAGCTCACCTTAGCAGCTCGTGAGTTAGCAGGAAGGGCTGCCCTCTTCCTGGCACCTGCACAGCTACAGGACGGCGTGGCTGGCTCTCTGCCTGCCTTCCTCCAGGTGCCCCACCTGCGGTCAGTCTCCTGGGAAATTTGCCCCCACCTCACTCTTTAAAGCATCTCTACATTCGCCTCCTTCTGCTCCTTCTCGGGGGAAGAGCAGACCAGCCCCAGAGCCCCCTACCCTCCACCCAGGAAATCCCAGCGGGCACCGATGCTCCTGGAGCCTGGGCTGTGCCCTCCAACCCTGGCCACTCACGATGTTGGCGGCTCGCACGTGCATCTCGTAATTGTCCTGTTCACCTTGAGTGGCCCGTGACACCTGCGTCTCGTCCTCAATCTGGGGGCAAACAAGAAAACCTGGAATCAACCCAGCCACGGTGTCCCACCCCTGGCTCGGCCCGGCCTAGCTGATGGTATCTATTATCTCTGCCCGGGATGCCCACACTAGCCACGACCTGTCTGTGGTGCCTTCTACAGACCTGAGCACTATCAGCCAAACCCCTGGCAAGGTTCAATTCCACCCTCTCTGGTTCTGGCCATGGGAGACAACGGGCACCTTGCTCAAGACAGACGGAGGCCGACCCACGCCGCTTCCCGTGCTCGGTGCAGGGACGGGGTCTTAGCTGGGCCGGGTCTTTCCAGGCTGTGGGAGCCCTGTTTGGTAGGAACTGTCCTCACTTGCTTGGTATTTGGTAAACCGTTAGATGGATGAGTGAAGGGATGATGTATTTTTTCTTTCAGCGACCATTTCCTGATCACTTCCCATGTGCCAGCACTGTGTCACACATTTGACCACCATTAGCCCATGACAGTCTCACAGAAGCCTGGCCTGCCACCCCTGGTTAATAGGTGGGCAAGTGAGGCTGGGACAACCTGTGCAGTCAAGGAGTCTCAGACAGTGAACAGAGGGGCCAGGAGCCCAGCCAGTGCATTCGGCTAACCTGGACGGGGCCTCCCAGTGGGCCTTTTGAGGGCTCAGCTCGGGGTGGGTGTCAGGTACCCTCAGTAGTTAAGAGCCAGACTAAGTGGGTTCAAATCCTGGCTCAGCCAGTTATTAGCTGAGTGAGCTTGGGCAAGTCACTAAGTCTCCGAGGCCTGGGTTTCCTCCTAAAATGGAGAGGACAATGGTGCCCACCTCAGAGTCCACATGAAGAGTCGGCAGAACGGGCACAGACAGCCACACCACGTGGCTTGACACATGGCAAGCACAAAGTACACGCTGGCTTCCAGGCTGACCATCACTGCTTACCGAGCCTGCCAGGTCTGCAGCAGCCAGACGGGATACAGCCCAATCCGGTGCAGCTGCAGCCATCAGCAGGCTTGCAGGCCCAGTGCTGCCTCCAGGGGCCTGTCTCCTGCTCACTGGCTCTGTGCCAAGCCCCAAGGTAATTGTTTAACACAGGTAAACTCACCAAGGCGGGACCCCACCATGCAGGAGAAACGGAGGCACTAAAAAGTGAAATCTCCAAACCCACATGGATGCGGGGCCCGGCAGGCCAGCAAGAGTCCCCGCACTGCTTTGCAGGACGTGCTATTACCTGGTTGATTTCTCTGCGGCTGACCGGCTCCCTGTGCGCTGGGCGCTTCCTGCCTGGAACACCATTCACTCACGCTGCTCAGTCCCTGGCCTCTCCTGTCTCCACCCCTCCCCAGACCCTGCTTCCCTTTGTGCTACCCCCCACGC